AGGGGCCTGGAAGATAGGCCTGTGCAATTAGTTCTCTCAACTTGCTTCCCTAATAAAGGTGATTCTCTCTATAGCAAGAAACCCAAGCTGCGTCCCTCAGTCTTTGTGTATGTCTTAGCCAATCAATCAATGCAGAACAATCTCGGAGCACTATAGGAGAATTAATATGCATACTGAGCACTTGTGGTCAGAATCATTTTCTTGCATAGGGTCAAGCATCTCAGAATACAATAGACATTTACCTAGATTCCTCAGGAATCCAGGAATTTAGTCACTCCACATCCTTAATGTGACATTTCCCTCTATTATCCTTTGAACATGAATAATAATTACCATAGGCTGTGAATTCAGTTCTCAGAAACTTTTTCTTGTTAGGTTGTTTTTACATGATAAATTCTAAGTATCATGCATAAAGGAATTGTCAGCATTCCCTTCCAATTAACTGATAAAGCCCCCTGGAGTTCCACTGCCGAGTGTGAGAGGCCTTGGAGGGAGAATGATCTTTGGATGTCTAACTTAATAGGATTTCCTGTGCCATTTGGGATTACCTGGTGCTCCAGTACAATTCCAACTGAGAAATGTTTGTCATATTTAACTGACAACTTAGTGTTATAATTGTATATTAAGAATATCTACTCCAGTCAAGCGTTAAAGTAATAAGTAAATACTAGCTATTGGCCTCACTAGAATAAGTAAAATCCCAGCTGGATATTTCATTAGCTACCCATAGAGAGTTTTGTTGCCAACCCCATGACCCTGCCTGTCTTTTGGGAATGGAACCTTAAGCTTTATGTGTGTGACAAGTGTCGAAGAAAAGTGAATCCCACATAGGATCTGTCAAAGTGGGGCACGAACTGGGGCCTTTTCTCTCCTGAAGACTCAGAATCTCATCTTGATCCCAAGAGCATCTGCATAGGATTACCTCACATGGATAACTGCTCCTCTTTGGGGCTGAGATCTTTTCATAATCCTATACAATTCTTATCTCCTAAAGGTGCCACTCTTGCTTAGCATGAGAAAAATTGTCTCTCTGACTAGTGCTCTCTCCTTGGAGGGAGGGAAGGAGGGAGTCTTCTGAAAATTCGGGATTATCCCTTACAAAAGTTTAAATTCCATCTCCCCTCACTTGAGCAAGTATTAATACTGTGTGTTTGAGAAAAGGCCTGAGAGAAGGCAAAGAAATGACATGCACATTTCCCCCCATTGTCTATCCCTTCTTTCTGCTATTAAAGCCATATCTTTTCTCCTGGGAAAAAGGGCAAATGCCTTTATTGCGTGGCTCTGTAGAGGTCAGGGTACAGTAAAAAGCTGTAAGTTCTGTAAATTGAGTGAAAGTTCCCACAGTGCACTAACTTTTTTCTGTGCCAAGATAAAAATAAAATTTCTCTGTCTCAATGACTGAGTGAATGAGGTTGAGGTTCCTACTCAGGGACTCTGATCTCAAAAAGTTCTCAAGTATCAGCAGAGGGACAAATCCCTTGTTCTTCAGCTGTTCTGCCCTACAGCATGTAAGTGGGGAGTGATAGGTAAGAACTGCAGGAAGTTAGAAGACACTGTGCAACTGTTGCCATTATTATCAAAGACAAAGCACACAACACGAAGAAAAGACAGTGTAATAGTTTTGTTTCAAAACAGTATGTGTGTACAAGAAGCAGATTTTAAAAAATTCCTGGGTTGGAGAGATGGTTCAGTGGCTAAGAGCACTTTCTGCCTGTGTTCTTCAGAGTTCTCTAAAGGAACAGAACTGAGAAAGTAGATGAATACACACACACACACACACACACACACACACACACACACACACACACACACATTATTAGAGTGGCTTAGATGCTGTGGCTGAGTTACTCCAACAACGGCTGTCTCCCAATGGAAGGGCCAAGAACCTACTATTCAGTCCATGAGACTGGATGATTCACCTGTTCCAATGTGGTGCTGGAGTCCCAGAGGATCCCTAGATAGCTGCTGGTTTTCAGTCTAGGTTAGATCTTGAAGACGTAGGCCCTAATGCCAGTGAAGGAATGCCCCAGCAGCAGGATAAATGAACTTTGCCAGTGAAAGTGAGGGCAAGCATGCAAAAGAAAAAACATCTCTCTTCCATGTCCTTTTATGTGGGCTGCCACCAAAAAGTGTAGATCAGATTTAGGGTACGTCCTCCCACCTCAGGTGACCCAATCAAGGAAATTCTCTCAAAGGCTGCCCAGCTGCTTAGATTTTAGTTGACTCAGATGTAGTCAAGTTGACAGCCAAGAATCAGCCATCACACTGCTCATACAGAGGACCCAAATTCAGTTCCTGGCCTGGCAACCACATTGGGTGATTCACAACCATCTGTAAATCCCACACCAAGGAATCTAACATCCTCTTCTGGCTTCCTCAGATACATGCATACACATGCTCACACTAAGACTCTAAGATGCATTTTTTTCTTCCCTTTTCTGACACCATCCTCACATTCTGCACACAAATCCATTGTATACCAGCCAGGATTGCTTACAAATATCCTACCATATTAGTTACTTCAGTGTTACTGTTACCAAAATACACAACAGAACCAACTCAGGGTAAGAAAGCTTTATTGTGGCTCAGGGCTTCAAAGGGTTTCAATCTATCCTTGTAGGGAAGGCAGAAGGGGGGTCATGGCTATCAGAAAAGGGAGCAGAGGCTCCTGACATCAAACCAGCCATGAATCAGAGGGTGACAGAAGCCAAGGATAGCCTACACCTCTCAAAACCTCAACTCTACTGACCTACTTCCTCCAGCTAGGCCCCACCCTTTAAAGGTTTCAGGACATCCTAAAATTTTGCCACCTACTAGGGAACGAGTATTCAAAAGAGGGGCTTGTGTGGGTTTTTGCTGCTTCAAATCATGGTGCATAGATTTGGTTTATTGAAGCTAACCAAAGTCCTAACCCTTTTGTACAGGGAAAACTTCCCTGCTGTACTGCTATCAACTCAAATGATTTAATGCTATCTAAGAAAAACGCTGGAAAAAAAAAAGAAAGTGCTTGGGTAGTCTAAGCTGAACTAGGTACTCAGCAGAAAAGCTTGTGGATAGACTGCATCTAAGTGTCTGCAGCAACTGAGCGAATCTCTTAGTTCAGAGTGGGTAGTAAGCAACTTGTATAAGGTGTCCAAGAAAGGCCCATGGCCAGTGTGCTGGAAAAGGCCCTGATTTAGCTGAGGCTGGCAACAGGAACTCCTGAGCATCTCAGGACAGGAACCTTTTTGGCTCAAATTTATGAGACCTCTCAAATGACATAACTGGGATTTGTATCTTTATTTTTATAAAAATAAAGTATTAGGAAAGCATTGCTGATACTATTCAGTGATATGCTAGAACTAAATTAATCCATGGGAAACAATCACCCCTGGAAGACTTTGCTGCTGACTAAATAAATGTAAGATAAAATTAGTGCGATTGGGTAACAAGACATGATTTCCATATTTTACTGACAAGTAATGTTAGGAATCATTATCCTAATGGTTTATGAACTTCTCGTATTACCAAATGACATTCCAGAGTAATATTATGATCAGGAGCAGAAGGTTTCATCCCCGTGTGACATAAGCAAGGAGGTTCTGTAGAGTGTAGAGTTGTATGTGCATGTCTGGGTGTGTGTCCTTAGAATAGGTTCACTCCCTTCTAATAATCATTCTTTCTGTCAGAAAGAAACACAGGAAAGAGAATTTTCAGTCTAACACTGATGAACTTTTTATAGTCAGAACCCCATGCAGAACCACGGCTTTCTCTGCTCTTGTATATTTAAGGTAAGAACCTTTTCTCTTTGACTTGAAGAACTACCTGCAGGATCTAGATAGATGACTTAGGCATGGAGAGCACTGGCCACTCTTCCAGAAATCCTGAGTTTGATTCTCAGCACCTAAATGGCAGCTCACAATTGTCTGTAACTCCAGTCCTAGGGGGCTCATGCTTGATTCTGGCTTCCATGGGCATCAGGTATGCAACTGATTCAGACATACTTGCAGGAAAACACTCATACACATAAAACACAACAATATAAAAATAATTTTAAAAAATTAAAAAATAACTACCTGCAGCTGATTCTCTGAATAAAGGTAGCATGGTAAGAGGTTAGTGACTGAAAGAACTGAATGCCTGGTCTTTGCCTGCTCTGCTTCAGTGGCAAATTCCTGCATTGGAAATACCAATGGTTTAGCATTTCTCTAGATGATTATCTGAGGGGAGAAGATGTGGAGACACAAAGTCCAGCTGAAAATGAACATCTAATGAAATACAGCCTTCTTGTCCTTTCTCCTGATGAGAACAACCTCCTTTACTATGTCTCCTGAGGGAGGGAGACCTGAAGTTTCTGAGCAGGGTCTTGGACTCTTCTGGAGTCTGGATAGTAAAACTGTTGCAGAAGCCCAGGCATGCAGTGGATCAAAGTGACCTGTTTACTGGAACAAACTTGGCCAGAGGAAATCCATGGTTCCTAAGCAGAGGCCACAAGAGTCTGCATGATTGTGAGAGATGGGGTACCAGCTGGCCTAAAGGATCTGTGGTCCACTGAGCCCCTTTAGAACCTGAACTGGAGAAGTGATGTGGGGTTCTGCAACACAGGAAACTTCAGGGTCACTAAGATTTCTTCTACTACTTGCAAAGTTGTGAGAACTTATAGGCTTGTCCTCCCACAGCCCAGTGTGTGGTCACAATCTCAATGGCAACATCTGGACTCCAAGTCTAAGTTCATAAAACATCTGGAGAAATTATACTAGGCTGTGACCCTTTCAACAGCAAGAAAGTCTAAAGAGACTCCATGGGCATAACAAAAAATCATACGCAGATTTTTGACAATCAGTGGAGAAAAAAAATAAATGGTTAATGGAAGGTTTGCAATAATCCAATTGATACACTCAATTTGATCCATATAGATGTATAATACTCATTAAAAAGAAAAAACGTATTTCTGTGAATCAATAAAATAATCACAAATGGTCCAATACTAATTAACAAAAAAAAGACTTTAATCAGCAATTTATAACAGAGGTCCCCTTTCCCCTTAGGAACTTATGATCTGTTCAAAATTATTATAAATCAACCATTTCAAAGTGCTTTAAAACATAATGGAATTAACAGATTCACAATTAACACTGAGAATAAATGGGAGAGTCTCTAAATGAGAAGAACCTTTATGTAAGCATTATTAAATTGTATCTTGCTCTGACCCTGCCTGTGAAAACAGCAGACAAGCAAATGTGGAGGCAAGAAGGGTGAAAGGTGAGTATCTTTCCCAGACAAAGCTGTTCTGAGGCTCATTATCCCAGGGAAGAGAAGCAGACCAGGAGAGTCACCTAAGCATGTAAACTTCTTTCTTTAAAGCATCACACACACCTTATTATTAGCCATGTATGATAGTATGTTTAGGGAAATTGTATAGAATACATATCACTTCTATGGACATGCCTCAGTGCTACTTTTAGAAGCAAAGATATTTGAGGCCAGATACTAAAGAAGTCCTGAAAAGTATTCTTAAATATTTTGGTATTCTTAAATATCTAAGAGCTACTTGACTGTGAATATAAGCGAAATTCCTTTGATAAGAGTCAAGGTGCACAATTTAAAAACAATGCTTCTACTTTGAAAATTGAACTTCCAAGATGTAAAACTCATAACTGAGCCCTGTGTTGGCTGAAGGACGTATGTACAGTCAAGGCAGCATTATTGAGGAGAGAATTCTTCTTATCTGCTCATTCACTTTGAGTTCTTGAGGTAGCTGGGCATTTTTGTTGTTCTCTTCTCCCACTAGATCTGGTTGTCTTTTATAGTGTTTTCTATGTGGTTTTCTGCTTGCTTCTTTATTTAAAAAACATCAAAACATATGGTCTCTACTGAAATTGTTTTATGCTATATTTACAATATACATAAAATTACAAGCTTTACAATATATCCACTTGCCTCCTATCATATAGATTACATAGGAAAGTACAGTCACCTGCATGGAGAAGAATTTAAGCTGGTGAAATCCAAAACAGTGGGACCCCGCCCCCCACAGGAAGTGTTTTGAAACCATTTTTTTTTTTTTTACTGTTCTCATGTACCTCCACATAAACAAATAAAGTTCATCCTCCTCAAGATACCAGAAAATGAAAAATTTCATTGGCTTGATGTAACTAGTTTTCAGGTGTTCAAGCTACTGTGACTCAGGTAACTATTACCCTAGAATGCATTACCAATTAATGTCCCAAGTGTTTATAACTGACATATTATTGTTAGAGGAGAAAAAACAAGCAAGCATACAACAAAAAAAGAAACCTAACATTTCAGTTGGACCAGGTCAATCACTTGGTCAAGGAACCACTAGGAAGCCACACTGAAGAGATAGGTGGAATAGTCGTTGAACGAGGTACTGTAGTTTTCCTGCCCAGAATTCCCACCCCTATTACAGTAGTTTAACAAATGGACCATAGCCATATGGCACAGTGAGTTTGAATCAGGCCTGGGCTACATTAGACCCTGGTATGAAAAAGAAGAGAAGGAGGAAGAGGAGGAGGAGGAGGAGAAAATGGAAAATAACTCAAAGCTCAATAGTTGACTTTTATCATCATTGCCAGGCTTCTGTGTAGTTGTAATTTTCTTGGAATGCCAACCAGCTTGCCAAATAAAGACACAGAGACGTATTATTAATTGTGAATGCTCTGTCTTAGCTTAGCCTTGTCCCTCAAGCTCTTTTAACTTAATTAAACCTGTTACTATTAATACAAATTTTTGCTTTGGGATTTTTTTTTTACCTTTTTTTCACTCTTTATATCCTACTTTCCTGCTTCCTCCATGTCTGTCTGTCTGGCCTCTGGCATCTCCCTGTCATCTCCTTTTCTTTTCTTTCTTGAGCCTAAATTCCTCCTACTACTTACTCTTCCTGCCTGGAAGTTCCACCTGTACCTCCTCCCTTGCTACTGGCCCTTCAGTTTTTTACTCTACCAATGAGGTACCTTAGGCAGGCAAGGTAAAACTGCAATTTTTCTTTACATAATCAAACAGCTGGAACACATCTTTACATAGTTAAATATTCTACAACATAAATAAATGCAGCATATCTTTACATAGCTAAACAAATGTTCTGCAACATAAACAAATGCAACATATCTTTACATAGTTAAACAAATGCAAGAATTCTTTGCATAGTTAATTAAATATTCTGCAACACTTTCCCTTTTTTGTCTAAACAAAAAGAAAGATTTTAGCTTTAACATAGACTATATATGATAAGAGCAATTATCAAGTAAGAAGGACATTTACAATATCCAGTCCACTTGCATTTAACAAATTCAGAGAAAATATCCCGTTATCTACCCTGTATTGGTGAGTCCAAAGTTGTGTACCTAATTTACTTTCTATCTTAACTTGTTTACCAATCTAAAATTATCTTTTTTGACTTCAAAACATTTTCTTAGACAAACAATTTTAGCTTTCATGGTTCTCAATTTTATAAACTTTAGATCTCTTATGTAAGTTTCTTTTCTGAATTTGATAACAAGGAAAACTATCACAATCTCATCTTCAACTCCATCAGAGACCTGAGAAGGATATAATATTACCCAAGTAAACAGGAAGTAAAGAGCAAGCATCTTCCAAAACCATAAAAATGACAGAAGCAGCTGGCTGCCTGGATAGTCACTCAAGGTTCCTGTGCATGGTTGGGGCATCCGTGTTTTGCCTGCAGGCTTAGAATAACTGACGGACTTTTCTGTGAAGCAGGAATTTTGAAGACTGTCCCATCTTGCCTTGGAAATGTTTGACAGTCCTTTCCCTTTGTGTCCTGATTGTCCAGTTTGTACAGTATACTGTCAGCAGTCAAGGCAAGGACAGTTTCTTGCCAAAATGTCTAGCTTTGCCACAGTGAAGTTTACTCCATATGGGGAGGTTCTTCAACACCTTTTATGAAGTAGATCGGTACTGCCGGCAGCAGATTTGTTCTCACTATCATGAAAAGCCTTAAGTTATTAAATATTTTAAATGCCATATTCTGTAGTTTTCTGAAGTGTTTGAAGATCACCTATGTATCTAAAATATATCTGTTTAACCTTGAAACCATGCCTAACACGACTACAAGTTTGGTTGTTATAGATGACTACTAACCTGCATTATTTTAATTATCCTAAACAGTTTTAATAATCACTTTCAAGGACTAGAACTTTCTATTGCAATTTAAATGGGCTGCATAGGTACAAGAGTAGAAACATATATGCAGTATAACAAAAATAACCTTAAATTTGTGTCAATATACAAAAATCCATACCAATGTAAAAAAATTTGAAATGAATAATTGTCTTTTTATCCTATATTCCTACATCCCCACTAAATGATGATAAACATCCATAACCTACTGAATGACCAAAAAGCACCTACCTTACCTGTTGGAAATGTAGGCATTGTGTTCTCTAGACTGCTTCCTATTGTTTGGGGGGCAATGACATGCCCAGTGGACACTGAGAAGATTGAGATAATGGTCAAGTCCTAAGAAAACTAGATATAACATTTGCTGTCCAGTCTCTGTGTAATGGAAAACTGCAAGGCTTATCTGAAGTCCCGGCTAGAACAGTCTGTGAGGCTGGACCATCTCAGCCAGCAGCCTTGAAGCTGTTCTGAACACAAAACTCTGAGGAAAGTGTAACAGTTTCAGGTACTCTGAAAGGCTGGATCACCTGGGCCACCTATTTTCACTGATGTCTGGTCCCCTTGCTCTGAAAACACACAAACTTCCAAGGATAACATACATATCTGCATTAACACAAGTATGAACTATACCTTGTACACAAGCCAGCCAAAGATGATTTTCTGTTTTACGTTTGAGCAGGTAAAAGACATCTGTCAACTTGGTAAATTTGTTTGAACTGTATAACCAAACTTCTATCCATGCCATATGAAAGGATGACATGTAATAATAATAATGAGGACTCTGTAAGCAATAAGATTTATCATGTCTCATCCGGTCTCAGAGCCGTTCCCATGTCAAGGGATCAGCACATATGTCATCTGTTTTGTAGTTTTCTAGGTTTTTTTCTTTATAGCTGTAGCCAAGGTTTTCAGGAGGTCTCTCCCAATCAAATCTGGTGTCTATTAATTTTAAAGGAATCCATAGCCTTTCATTTCCTTTGGAAACAAACATTAACTCTTCCCAAACACAATACATTTTCTGAATTCCATTTTAAAGTTAAGACATCCTTAAAGTATCTAGGCTGCTTTAATTCAGCAATTCCTTTTAAAATCTCATGTTTTCCCGCAGCTGCCATTTGCTCTTCAGCATTCAAAAAATTCAAAGTCAGCAAAGCACCACTGGGGATCCAGACTCTGTGTATTTTCCATCTTTATGTGGCTTTTTTATAGTGATTCATTCTTCCTTTAAAGACTTAATTTTTGTATGTGTGTGTGTGTTCAGGTTTCATCTTTTAATTAGCTCCATAAAGGACATCCTAAACATATCAGACACAACAGAATATCTTTTCTTCCAGTATTTAAAAAATGACATTCACAAACATTTTCAAGAAGCTCTTCTATATAATCAGGATAGTAATCTTGAATAAAAAAAATCTCTAGGTAATCATGATCTTGATTCAGATTGCTCATAGGTACATTCAGAAATCACTTTCTGGCCATGATAAACATTGTATACAAGTTTTTTCAAATGTCCCTAAATACACATTAATTTTAAAAACATTAGCCTGGCCACTTTTTTTGGCCAGAAACAATTCTGAACCTAAACAAAAACTGACAAAAGAAAAAATATCGGTACCATAAGCAATGTCTTAAAATTTGTCTTTAAAGGGAAAAAAATGTTTAAAGAACACATGGAGCTTTCTAAAAGGTCTTTAACAAACTACCTTGGGAGCTCAATTCAAAAATAGAACTTGATGTACTAAAACAGATGTTTCAGCGCAGCTCCAAAAATCTTTATAAATACAGCAATTTGGAAGGATGATCCTGGATCAGAAGTGTTATTCCTTGTGTATATTATGTGTGCATGCCCCATTTCAGTTGTCATAATTGTCTCTGTAATTTCCTCCTGAGTAGCGGTCATAACCACCCTGGCTGCCACTGTAGTCTCTAGACCGTCCATATCCATATCCATATCCTCCAGGTCGACTGTCATATCTTCTGCCTCCATAGCCCTGGTCTCCACCCCCTCTAGAGTAACTGAGACCACGCCCATGGGCCCCAAAGGCACGCCCTCTGCTTCCCCGGGCAGACGTGCCTGCATGGTCCACACGGATCTGGCGCCCATCCAGGGACTCTCCATTCATGGCTCTCATGGCGTCTGAGGCACGCTCTGGGTTGGTGAAGGTGATGAAGCCAAAACCCCGGGATCTTTGAGTCTCCCGGTCCTTGACAACAACCACCTCAGAGATAGGCCCGAAGCTGCTGAGGTGGTCTTTGAGTGCCTGCTCATCGGTGTTGAAGTTGAGCCCTCCCACGAAGAGCTTTCCTTCTTCAGAAGACGGGGCAGAATGCAAATCCTGGAAAATGACAAGTCAAAAGGCCGGACACAGCGAGCTCCACGGAACCGGGAGAACAGAGCGACTTAATTATTTTTAAACTATTTTTCCCCGTGACTGTCTATAGCCACCCTCTTTTCTTTCTTCAGCACTTACGCACACTGTAACCGGTTTAAAGGTTTTTTGTTTGTTTGTTTGTTTGTTTTGGTCTGGACCTGTTTTACTGTGCAACTGTAGTGTTCTCTGATCATGTGAACCAACCCTGAAACTGCTAAGGAGCAGCTAGACCCTCTGCCTTGCAGGTCTGCCGGTTGGATCCATCGCTTCCTCCTGCTTGTGAGAGCCAAGCCTTAAGCCCAAGGGCCAGGCTGGGTGCTGGGTTTAACTAGCCCAGATCTAGGAAGCTGTGGCCCACATTGTGGCAGGCATTTTTACTTAGCTTGCTGTTTCTTCTTAGTCTGCCAGCTACTCAAGGGCTCTGCTGCACAGCAGTGCCTCTTAAAGGGCTGTATCCATTTTTTATTGTTGTTGTTTTGTTTTATTTTTTTGTTTGTTTTGTCTTTCAGCTTTCTTAGGCCCTCTGTGGAAATTTGAGTCCCATGTTGGGCACCATTTGTAGTTGGAATTTTCTTTAGACTACCAACCAGCTTCCCCAATAAAGACATGGAGTCTTATTAATTATGAATGCTCGGCCTTAGCTTAGACTTCTCCACCTAGCTCTTATAACTTAATTTAACCTGTATCTATCTTTTAATCTACATTTTATCTTGGGGCTTTTTATCTTTCTTTCACTCTGTATATCCTACTTCCTGCTTCCTCCATGTCTGGCTGGCTGGCTCTGTCATAACCCTGCCATTCCTTTTTGCTTTCTTCCGTGAGCCTAAATTCCTCCTCCTACTTACTCTCCCCGCCCAGAAATTCTGCCTGTACCTCCTCCTTCCATATTGACTGTTCCTCCTTTTATTAGATCAGGTGCTTTAGGCAGGCAAGGTAAAACAGCAACAAATCTTTACATAATTAAACAAATGCAACACATCTTTACATAGTTAAACAGATGCAACACATCTTTCATAGTTAAACAAATATTCCAAACAGTTCTGGGTAACTTTCCATATGAAAGTTTTCAAGAAATATTTGCATTAGTCATGGTATCTCTGAAAACTCTTTGATAAGTTGCTATAACAACTTATAGACATGTGATGATTCAACAAGAGTCTTGTGTTTTGCTTATAAAAAACACAAATGGCATTTGCAGTCAGTCAACACCTCACTTTCAAATGATAATCTGCAAAGTGCCTGCCAACTTGTACCCCTTTGGGTTCAAGGGGAAGTTCCCAAGGCTTTTTGGGAGATTATTCCTTCCTCAGCCAATTAGAAAGAGGCAGAACCTCAGAGCATCTCCTGAGAAAGGCACTGGGTGGGGAAGTGTCTTACAGTACCCATACTTCTGGGAGTCATTCACATGGCAGCAGTGGAGGAGGAAAACAGCCATACTGTGTATTTAGGAACAAAAAGAAATAGATGAGTGATTTTCTTGCAGGCTTTCCCACAAAAAATTCCAAATTCATTTTTGGTTACAATTTTCTTCAGAGCTGGGAATCTTTATGAATATTAATGCAAAGTAGGAAAATGTGTTCTATAGACAAGGTACTGTTCCATCTTTATAAACTGCCATTAAGTTTATTTTCTATAGTAAATGGCCAATTCTGAGAATTTTCCTTGTGCCAATGTCCTTCGCAATAGATTTTGTCTTTTTTTCCTTTATATATGAAAATCTGATTTTATCATTTGGCACTGCACGATCCTGCTCCCCAAATGCACTAAGTGCAGAGTTCAATGAGCTAAGGTAGTCAGTAAGCAGGATAAGCTCTCTGCCATTCTCCCTTAGCTCAGGGTTTCTGTCACCAAGTGTTCTGCAGCCTTCACTTGGCAAAGTGAAATTGCTAGTGCCCTTGCATGAACCCAGAATAAGGAGATGGGTTAGATAGCTGCCTCTCTCCACACAAGCTGAGTACAGATATCCATCCATCTTTTATCTAAGAAAGAAAATTAAGGAAAGTCTCTGTGGGTGACAGTCTAGCCACCCCAAGGTACTACTTGATGTTTTCAGTGACTGACAGAGAGAAATATCCTTTGGGCAGAGATTTTACATTCACCCAAATATACCTTGTTCTGTGCTACTTGTTCCTTGTTATGAAACTTTCCATCAGTAGAGAAGACAGCTGGGATATTCAGTATTGCAATACTGTATTAGTTTGTGCTTGCTAAGAATCACATGACTCTTACGTCTCCATGGCTCTTTCAGAATCTTCATGAAGGTGTCACTTGATGAAGAAAAAAAAAAGCTAATGCACAAATTTGATTTCCAAATGCTGAACAATATTAGAACCAGCTTGATCATTTGCATGTAACATGACAGTTTTCTTAGTAGAAAATATTTTATTTTTTCATGTAAGCAACATGTGTTGATCATATCACCCTCAAACCTCCCTCCTCCTTCTTCCCCTAGGTACCCCTCAACACCTTCCCTGTTCCCATTTCACAGCACTCCTCCCCATTCTCCAGCTCTTACATTCTTTCTACCCCATCTCGCCACAATGTTCCTTGACCTTTGGTAGGGCTTGAAAGGTTGGAAGTATTGATATCCATTTAGGGCTGAGCAGCCAACAGTAGCTTATTCTCAACATTTTGGCCAGGTATGAATACTGTACTAACTCTTAACCATTGCAAAGAGAAGTTTCTCCAGACAAGGTCGAGGATAGCATTGATCTAGCAACACTCCATTTCTAGGATTCAGTCTGATATATATTTAGACCCTGAATGGGTGATTAACAGAAGCTGGTGCCTTTGACAGTCTTTCTTAGACTGCCAGTTGAGGCATAGGGGTCATGCAACTGCTCGAGCATTCCCCTGCCTGACTTAGGCAAGTGTCACCAATGAGTCATGAATAATTCTGTGCAGGAATGACATGAAATCCCACAAGGCCTTGCAGATTGTGCAGTCTCTTCCTAGTTCAACAAGTCTCTTCTCAACTGTTTGTGTTAACCTGCATTCTAAGTCTTACCTTGTGGTCAGTCTTTGTCTGCTTATTCATCTCTTCCCTTTGTTCTTCATAAATCTTCATAAATCCCTGTGTGAGGCCTTTATTATATTGCCCTAGGTTTTCTGTCCTATCTTCCATGTCTATTTCTTACATAAAACTCCAACAACACAGTAGATTGAGGAAAATGACCATGACCACCTGTTCTTACCCTATATTTCATAATTCACATACTCACTGGCTTTTCTGTGTCTCCATCCTCCTCAAAATAACTCACATGTCTTCTTTGCTTTTTTCTAAAATCTAATATCTACTGTTAGCTAGAGGTCAGATAAATAACCTGGTGTATATCAATAATGTATTTGTTTGGTTTCAGGTAAATGTACTCTATTCCTTAAAGAATAGAATTGCATAAAGTGGTGCCACTCTGAATGCAATGTGTTAACAAAGCAAGCGGCTAATGATCAGGACACCTGGCACTTTGGAAAACTTGTAGAGGAAATGTCTGGGAAAGAAAAAGTTTCCAGTGTCCTTTAAATAACACAATTGCACCGGGAAGATGGCTGGGTCCATAAAGTCCTTGTCATGCTAGCTTGAGGGCCTAAGCTTGATGCCCAGTACCCACAATAAAAAAAAATTTCACGTGTGACTCTCGTACTTACCCTGGGAGGCAGGGACAGACTGATTCTTGGGGTTTTCTAATCATCAGGGAAGCCTACTGGAGCAAGTTTGAGGCCAGTGAGATACCCTGCCTCCAAAAGCAAGGTTGACTTCTGAGAAAGGATACCTAGAGCTCTTCAGGCCTCACATGCACATGCATACACATGCATACTCATGTGCACACACATGAACAGGCACCCATGTGAGTGCAAATACATACAGGCAAAAGGGAAAATCAGTAAATAACTCAATAAAACTCTTACATTGTTTGCATCTAGAGCCATTGTGGTACCAAAATTGTATATGATTTTTTTTATGGTGAAAAGTATATTTAGAATTAGCCAGCTGGACTAGTTTAGATGATCCCAATTTTGTTGGCAACATCCAGAGCATCATAGTCAGGAGCCAACCGAACATACGCCTTCTTCTCTCCATCAGGCCTTATGAGGGTGTTGACTTTGGCCACATCAATGTCATAGAGTTTCTACACAGCCTGTTTGATCTGGTGCTTGTTGGCCTTGACATCCACAATGAAATAAGTGTGTTGTTGTCTTCTATCTTCTTTATGGCTGACTCAGTGGTCAGGGGGAATTTGATGATGGCATAGTGGTCAAGCTTTTTTCTCCTGGGCGCACTCTTTCGAGGATATTTAGGCTGCCTCCCGAGCCGCAAGGTCTTGGGCTGCTGGAACATGGGTGACGTGTGGATCTTCTTCTTTTTGTGGCTGTGGACGTCTTTCAGCACTGCCTTCTTGGCTTTCAAGGCGTTCGCTTTGGATTCGGCTTTGGGAGGGGCAGGAGCTTCCTTCTTCGCTTTCGGCGCCATCTTGGCGAAAAGCATGATTTTTGTTAGACAATAGCCTAGGTTATATTTATAGATTATTATAGATAAGCTGATACTATTTACCTGCTTTTCTTTAAATTCAGTGTGTTAACATATGTGCAAAATGCTTGACGATATTTAATTTACCATCTGAATGACCCAGAAGTACATGCGTGCTTCAGCATATTGTGTCCCCAATTCACGTCACTTCCTCTTTGGATGTTCAGCAATTAAAATAGTAGCAGATAGACTAAGAATAACTATGTAATGGAGAAAAAAATGAGTGTGGAAATGAAAATAGCAACAATGGTCTCTGCATACAAAAACCACTGAAGAGTAAAAGAGAAAGCTCTCGGTAGGAAGTGGTAGACTAGTCCATAGAGGTCAATGGAAAAACTGAAGGCCAAGGCAATACAGTGTGTGCACAAGGGCTTGATGAAATGCCAGCCAGCTAGAGGCATTCATTGATCACCAGGGATTAGGCCCATTTGCAGTAAACTTCAAT